GCGTGACAGATGGGGGTGACTGGTAACTCTGCTGAGGGACTTGTCTGCAGATGGTGCGCCTCCCTTCTCCCTTTCCTTACTCAGTCCCTCCCCCCTTCCATCCAAACCCTCAGGCTGCAAGTGAAAAGAGAGAGCGAAAAGAGAGAGAGAGAGAGAAGCCCGAAGAACCGCTTGCCTCACCTTGGCAGTGCTGGCCATTTCCAGCGCCTCTTCATCAGCCATGCCACTCTGCGGCCCGTCACTATTTAATCTTAATGAGCCAGCAGATCAGTGACTTCTCCTTCTTAAGATGAGTGCATAAATCACCCTTAACAAACGGACGCAGTCCACGTCTTTAGCTAAAGCCGGATGAAATTAAAAAATGCTGCTCTTTTGAAACAGCTTTTAATTGCATGATTGATCAACTGCAGGATGCGGCATAAAAGCTTGTCTGTATTCATGCTAAATGATTCGGCCATGTCCGAAAGACACTAGAGACCCAGAGACTGAAAATATAATGTGGATGGCATACATTTAACCGCTCATTTACTGTAAGCGAAATCCCGCCAGTCTACTTTCAGGGGGTTGGTTGAGCAGGATGAAAATGATACATGCCCACATTAAGCAAATTAATGTGTGCTATCAGCAACTGCGAGCAAGCTAGGTCTTCGGCTTTGACCACAAGATACAACCACCCCTTGCTCCCCTCATAGATTATTTTCTCAACACATGCAATGAGCCGAGCTTCTAAACTAGACTGCGGGCGGAATGACCTCATAAACATGAACAAATGTGTTATTTTCTTTGTCTGCCAGAAGTAGCTGTGAGAAGAGTTGATATACTCCACATAGAACAGCCTAATTAAGACTGTTTGCAAAGGGAATATGTATCTTGGGAATATGTCTTGCTTTTTTTATATTTAATTTAAAATAGTACAAATAAGTTGGGCACAAAATCTCTATGAGCACTTTTAGAAAGTCAGCTAAACTAGACTGTGTAGCCTTGTAGCACTGAAGTTGACAACATTTCTTGAACCAGGGACCCACAACCAGACTCTTAACCAATTAAACTAGATTTTTTTTTTCAGTAACACTATAAAGTACTTACATTAATAAAAAGGTTGTGATGTAACAGATGTATAGCAACAGATCTTTTCTTCTGTATTGTGATGTATACTCAAATGAATGGATATTGGAAAAAATCAAATGTATGGGGACTTGATTCAGTCCATCAGCTGTTGATCAGGTGGAGGCTGATCTGAATGAGAGCTTGCAGTGGATTGTAAAAAGGGGCGGAGTTTAAGCAGACTAGTTAGTTGGAGAAATCAGATTAAGCTATGACATTTTGATTAGAAATTACAAGCTCATGCACACAATATTTTAAGATTTAAGATCAATGAACTGGCCTACCTTTACATCCTTTGCCATATCCTGAATTCATCATGCCACTGTACTGTCAGACAGAGAAAGAAATACACATTTAATAATAATTTTACCTCAAAAAAATCAAACAAACCAGCAAAAGATTAAAGTAAGAGTTTGTTTCTTAGACAAACTGCAGACCTCAAGTCCACAACGCTGCTTTTAGCATCTTAGGCTTGGAAATTATTTTGCATTACAGAGTTTGGGTCAGCTGGTTTTGAACTGTTGGGTGCTAGTCTAACCATCCTGTTTACCAGCAAAACTTGAATGGTAAAGATTCTTTACCAGGGCAGTCTTGCTGATTAAGCTAGTTAAGAAGCCTGATGGGACCACCAGCACATCAGCAGCAGAGACAGCATTCGTTCCCCATTAAAATGATCATCCCAACATCTCCAGACTTCCACAAACATCTGAGCTTTCTCAGATGACAGTCAGCATGGTGCTTATCTGTGAATGGGAGGATGAAATGCCACATTGTGCATCTTTCATAAATTCTTTTTCATAGTATTGATTTGAGCTTATTGTGCTGAGGCATTTTATTTCCCATGGGTCCCAAGCTATTAACTCTGATATGATCGGGAAAGATCCTCTTACTCAAATTCCCCTGTCACATCTCGGCTGGCAGGCTACATGCACGCTTGACCTCCGACAGATACAACACGGTTGCTGCCATGTAGATTGTGGTTTAATAAACACGTCTCATTACAGTCGCTTGAAGATCTACTTCGTGGTGCGCTGAGTCGGATATATACTGACTGCAGAGTAAAAAATTGGTGTAGAAACAATTTTAGCTCAGAAATTACTAGTACATTTCCCAAACAATTACAAAGGAATGGCAAATAACACATTGATTTAAAGATGACATTTTTATGAAGAAAAACTAAAATAGTATTTTCTTGTAAAACATACTCAAATAATCTTTATTTACAACTTTTTTTGCAGTGCAAGATAGGTGGATTTTAGCATTCAATTATATGATAAAGTCAATATAACTTAAGTGTGAAGCTGTTCAGAATCTTTCAGAATGTCATCAAAGATAACAGTTCATACATAACTTGCAAGACTATAATGTTTGGACAGAATAACGTCATCAAAATATTGTCAACAGCTTTATATTCTTTTCTTAAGAATTTAAGGGCATTGCTTCGTGACTTTAAAAACTGTCTTTCCTATAGAGCTACTCACACCCAGCTGTCCATATTGTCTTGTCTTCAAATAGACTCTAACTCCCTCCTTTCTGGTCTCCTTGCAAGTGCTAAACGGCTAGTACAAAATGCTGCTGCCTGATCTGGATTGAAATTCTCATGTTTCAGCTCTGCTCAGTCTCCTCACAAGCTTCAGGGGTGATGTTAGAATCAAATCTAAAACATAGTCTCTGACCAACAATGCAGCCAATTGTTTGGCTCTGTTATCAGCACACCACAATAAAAACAAACTCCTCAACCTGGCTGCTACAATCAGCTGTATCCAGAATAAAAAGGCAAGAAGAGTTTGTTCGGGGTGGGATTGGAGAGGTAGAGGGCTCGGGGCGGTAGGTTTGTCAGAGTACTCTGTGGATTATTATGTTTCAAGGATAAAGTCAATTTAATACCATCAGCCTATGGGAAGAAAGCAGCAGGGAAAAGTAAGAGAAAAATGTGGTCTCATGCTTCAGGGTTTCAACACTCAGGACCTTTGGCTTTAAGCCATAATTTTGTTGATAATCAATTTTTGTACATGTCTCGCTTCAGCAGTTTTAAACGCACACACACAAAAAATGTACTAGACTGAAATAACTGTGGAGAAATTAAATTCAGGACCTACATGTCACAGATCTGAGGTATTATTAGTGCTCATTTGTATACGAACAGTGATTTTAAATACACAGAATCTGCAGACATAGTACAAAGAGATAAATGATTATGTGTAAGAGAATGATGAAAGAGAATGAACACATATAAATGCAAATTTTTTTCTGAGGTTAAATGCAAACTACAGCAAGTGTAACGAGAGACAGGAGGAAGCCTGTTAGGGTTAACTACGCCTCATTATCTTCCCTACATGCATGCCTGTGCATAACACTCAAAACTGTCTGCCACTGGGGGTCGGCCATTGCACTTAATTGGGGGTTTAAACCCTGACGTAATCAGCACGGCTCAAAACAACACCAAATAGCCACCATTTTTAATATGAATTTAGAATGCATTGGTCTTGCGAACATAAGGGATTAATCTGAGTGAATGAGCAAGTTCAAACGCTGTTATGGCATTTGTCAGAGTAGGTCTGGACTTCACGCAGAAAGGTCTTGGGTCTCCTTTCCCCTCCACTTTATTAACAAGCTGCCTAACCCTTGTAAGAATGAGTGCTGCTTGAAGAATCACGGCACACATATAGCTCAGCTGAAAGCAGGGACTGATTCACTGGCTGAATGATTAAATGGCCTGCTGCCAATATAGACACAAATTTTACATCACAGCTCTTTGCTTTACTTTTAAGGGGCCACATGGTTCAGGCCTCTCTCGAATGGCATCAAACTTAAGAAAGCTGTTTATTTGCTAATAATGTGCCAAAAGCTAATCAAAGGTAGGAGAGGAGGATGAACTTTACCATCACACAATTACAAGCAGTAAGGCATAATTACATTAACGTTTTGCATAACTGGAAGCAGTATCCTGCCTGCTGTCTCTGCAGTCTGATTAAGGGGATACAAATAATTCAGAGCAATTATTTCTTAAAGTGACAGTATGCAGCTACCTGCCTGCTTTCGACATTTACTGAATCTGACTAAATAAAAATATAGGAGCTGCTGTAGAGCGCAAACGGACATAGAAAAAAATATTTACATGTGTTGAGATATATATTTTGTGTTTTTTTCCAAAAAAAGGCTATTTGTGTTTTTTTTTTCTTTGACTAAGACAATAATGTCATGATGTAAATGTAAAATTGTTATCGACATTTCACTTGACGATTTATTTATTTCTTTACAACCCAGATACAGACTGTTATCCATCAACCTGTCCGACCTTAATTCGGTCACTTCCAGTGAACCCTTTTAGGGCTTAATTGTGATTTAATTGTGTCCGCTCTCCCCTTAAAGTCATACCAGAAAATATGTGAGCAAGATAAGACATTATAAAAATATGCCTATGCAGAAACATATTGTTTACTAAAACAAAATTTAAAAAGAGAATATACGGAGCGGGAGCGAGTAAGACATGATAAAATAATGACTGACTGAATTTATTCGTTTTCTACACTGTGATTTTTAGCCTAACAGTTTATTTGTTTGCGCTGTTTATACTGCTGTTGTTATGGGGTATTTATATTGTACTGTGTTGTGTTTAATGCTGGTAGCAAAACAAAAAGCTCGTAAATGCATTCTTACTTGGCCAATAAACTTCACCCAAACAAGCGGCACCAAATCCTCGAGGTAGCCTAACGTTTCCCGATCGAATAGTCCAATTCTGAGAGAGAGAGAGAGAGAGAGAGAGAGAGAGATTGGAAACATAATTCCTGCGCCTTTAAGAATTGTCTGCTACTAAACTTCAGCGACACTAGTGAGGCAGAGTAAGAACATCCTGACTTGTCGATTTGCTCACGTATGTAGCCTATATATCGATCCCCTGGAGGCTGCTGTTGATTGTGAACCGCACTTGGATAGGTGGTTTACTAACTAATTTCAAAACATCTGCACCAGCCACTTTGAAGTCCTACAATCCGTTAAAGTGAGCTACATTTTTTAAAAAGGCCTGCTAGAAGGTATCACAGCAGAAACGCTGAAAATATTAAGGCCTACCCGTCTGCTCTAAGCTATAATAAAAACTGAGAAACGAGTAATCCAACTTCATAAGCAGCGGTGTTTCAGTTTACTCTTGGAATCTCCCGGAATCAAAGGTGCACCTGACACACTTTATCCTTCCCTTGACGTGACCCTACAAACGACTTTCCATCCAGCATCATTGCTTACATATAGCCAACACTATTGCGCAAATATAATACCTTAGAAGAGTGACTACAGTTTGAATTATGAGAATACGAATTACTTTTTTCAGGAAAAAAAAAATTAAAAGAAAAAAAATCTCATTTATGCTCTCTAATGCTAGTTTGGGAGAAAAATGATTTCTTTAAATGAAAACAGAGATGAGAAAAAATGAACCACAAAGTCATACGTTAGAAAAATATTAAAATAGGGGCTGCAGTCTTAAATGAGGATGGATTTAATAAATAAAGCGCTATCAAACACGTCATCTGTGAGGTTTACATGAGCGATTTCACACCACGGTGCTCAATATTCACAGGGGATCATAACATCCTTTTGATTCTGCCCTTTTTATTCTCGCCCTGCACTGATCCGTGCATGCGATAATATCATAGAACCATATCCGAGTCTTATGCATTTTTAAAATAACCACACTTTAGAAATAAATGCTTATGATTATGTCACTTATGGATTTATCGATTTTATCTTACACTTTAAGAATTCAAAAAAATACTTGTATATAAAAAATCATTCTTAAAAATGTTGAGAGCATTTTTAGCACCCCGTTTTAAATAAAGCCAAAAATATTAAGATACAAACATTAAACATACGCCTTGCATATTTTTACATACAATATGTTATTAAGATCTGAGGTACAGTAAAATGACTTGCGTCGTGCAACTGTAATATATAGGCTATACAATTAGCCTAAACAATTTTTGCAAGGGCGTCTGGTCAGTTTGTGCTACAGTCACACTAATTGTTTTTTATCTTTACACGTGGGTTTAAAATATATATAAAAGTTTTGAATGTTTTATATGTATTTGAATGTTTAAAATTTGGGATAAAAACAATGTTTTTAAATGGTTGAATAAAATCACTTTTTCTCATAAAAGAAAAGCACATGTGGGACAATTATAGCCAACTGGAATAGTCAACTGCACGAAAGCGGCCAGTTTACGATATCATTTATACCAGTACTATCTTAAAATATTATGATTAATATTATATTAAAATGTATTAGTGTAATGTAAAATTCTATATAGGAATATAATAGGCTAAATTAATATAAAAAAGGCGCAATGGATTACTTCTTAAAAATACTTTATTTAGGCTACTTATAGCCTATTTATGATTAATAGGCGATATCCGACAAACTAGCTAAATAAAACACTCAACATAATGACCGACGAAGAAAACATCGAAAAGTTTTCCACAAATTGGACGATCCTGTGCAAGTTACCACCAACTATTTTCGCTCGACTAGTTTCTCTAACTTCCATCATCAGATTCTCGATCGCCTCCGTCCATGTTAACGTCAATATACCAGAAAGAACTGATAATGCCATGCTGCAATATTAATATCCTCTAATTGCGTCAGTGAAATTATCACAGAATTAATTAAACACGGTTCCCATTTCCAATTGACCACACCGCACTGTAGGAATCCGAATTAATTATAATTAAATTAAGGGGACTCCATCCAGTGCAGCATTGATTTGAGGAAAAGCCACTGAAAGTTGAATTCAGAAGCGCATGTAATGACTCCAGACATGATGGCGATGGGGGCCGGGCTGAGGTGGCCGTGTATAAATAGTGTGATCTGAAAAACACAGACATAACAGCAGGAGTGATCTAAACCTTCTACACGCAAACATATCGCTGAATTCACTGTTGAGCAGACAAAAAGATTCGCGTTAGATACATTTTAAAGTGGATTTCTGTAATCAGCCATGGAAGAACTCACGGCGTTCGTGTCGAAATCCTTCGGTCAGAAAAGCAAGGAGAGCAGCAAAGAGAGCATCACGTACAAGGAAGTTTTGGAGAGTGGTTTAGCCCGAGCCAGAGAGCTGGGAAACTCGGAGACCAACCTTCAGGAGATTACAGAAACCAACAACAACCATTGTGCGGTACACCGTTACAAGGAGCACGTAGAGCTGGAAAAGGAGAAATTGAAGGAGTTTAACGTGACACGGGCTACTGACGGTGAGTTACACTTACGCAAAGTGTAATAACGTGTTTCGCCGCAGACGCGTTTACAATTAGATGTTCGCGCGAATACGTTGTTGAAATAGCTATAACATCTGAATTGACTATATAGAGATCATTTTCATTATATTAAAGAGAGATTTCGATCGCCTTGAGAGGCTAACTAGCATGCGAGTGGAGAAACTCAAGCTGTAGCCTATTCAGCTGATGCAATGGGCACTTGTTCGTGCCGTGCAGAGAACTGTTGTCTTTTGTAAAAGAACAGAAATAGCTACACCATAGGCAATTTTAAGTAAGAGAATCGCAGTAGCCTAAATGTTAAACAAAAAAAGTAGTCCGTACTCACATTTGAAGAATTACAGTCAAAACAATAGGCTAGGCCCTTGTCAAATTTGAAAGGACGATCTATCAATTTATTCCTAAGCGTTCCTTAAATAGCCAGGAAATGAGTAAAGACACTTAGGCTATTTTCTCTTAACGTACAAACACTTGTGTAAATAAAGTTAAAAAGGCTGTCATTTAACACTGAACCATATGGGTGATAACATTTTAAAAGTGAGATTTAATTTAAAACGGGTTTGCTTCACAAACTGCGAAGAAATACGTTTAACGACAATCATGACAAATTGTTTTGGAATGCAACACCTCAATAATAATAGTAATACAAATACTACTACTACTATTACTACTAGTACTAATAATAATATTGATAATAATTGAGTATATTTAAATGCCATTGATAATATAGCCTACATTGAAAACAAAAGAAAGATAACTTCACAGAATTTATAGAGAAAACTATTGCATGAAGACAAAGTTTTGTAAATTTACATTTGATTTCCAAAACTTGCAAATAACAGTTTATTAATACTGCTGGAATTAAGTTCTATATAAATATAAAAAAAAAATTTAAGTGCAGAGCTGCATTTGCTCTTTGTAAACTTCTAATGTTTCCTATATCTTGTAATGTAATTTCAGAATTACATAATAATCTAATCTCTTTATCTATGTATCTTAAATATAAGAATATGCCCAATTACAATTTATACATATTAAAAGAAAATCGAGAACATTTACGTGTTTATTTGTAAGTCAGTGTTATTTGTAAAACGATTTCCATAATGTAGGCCTACTACGTTGTTTCAAAGCATCAGCAATTTCTCACTGTTCATCTTGGATTTTACCTAACAAAATTGTTTTAATTTTTAAGCTAAATTTTTGAAAAAAGTGTTGTGTTGACATGGCATATGCTATTAATTAGATTTATTTAGTTCCCGATTCTGTTTACTTCTGAGCCGCCATCTGCATGCTCTTTAAACACTCGTGTAATAAATGAACGCTTTAAAAGAAATTCTTTGTTGATGTGTTTATGTTGTATTTTCACAGGAATTTATGAGTGTAAAGACAAGAAAGAGGATGTGAAGTCAGAGGACGAGGACGCACAGAGTAAACTGAAGCAGAGACGGAGCAGGACAAATTTTACCTTAGAGCAGCTGAATGAACTGGAGCGCTTATTTGATGAGACGCATTACCCGGACGCCTTCATGCGGGAGGAGTTGAGTCAGAGGCTGGGGCTGTCAGAGGCCCGCGTGCAGGTATGATCCCATTCTTCCAAACCCTTCAGTGATTCTTTTTTATTACTTTTAAAAATTCTAATATGGAAAAAAAAAAAATAGAATCAGGCAAATATTAAATATGACCACATAAAAAAATAATTAAAAACATTCATTTTTTAAACGAATGCATCACGAATTTTTTAGTGGAAATGCAAATAACCTGGATGCCAAATGGGGGTTCTGTGTCACTCATTTTTCATTGTTTTATGTACATGTTCTCGAAATAGGTTTAAAGTAGGCCCGTGTGTGAAAATAGGCTACGACAGTAACATACCTCGCTCTATCAGCGTAGCATAATTGAGAAAAATAATGTCCACGGAGAATATTCATAATGTTTATTGCTTTTATATTTAATGTTAGCAAGTAATAGAGATACTAAGTCTCCTATAATAGCGCTGCTGTGGTGTATATATTTATATGCCTAGAGGACATTATGACGCTGATTACTTAATACACGTAAAACTAAAGGGTTTTTGTTAGCACTTTTTAAAGTTAGAAATAATAGGCACTCTATTTACAAAGTACAGTTAAGCCCTTCTTAGGAAGGCGTGCTTGTGCACTGGCAAGGGGAAAATAATCAAATAATACAGATAGTAAGTGTGATCGCTAGGCCTTCATTCCTCCTACACATTTGCTTAAGTAGGCTAGATTAAATTTGTATATCATACCATGCGCCTGAGATGTTTAACATTTGGAGACGGTTGTTGTTCTGTTCACTCATACACAAAGCATTTCTGTTATCTTTCGATTTATGCGGGTTCAGTTTCAGTGGTGGGTGTGGATATGAAATAACCTTTTAGTTCCTTCAGCAGCAGCTATATTCAAAGGACAACTTGCTTATGTGCTGCAGAAAGATCTAACCAGATCATTAAAATTAATGAAGAGATTGAACCGCTGCTGCAGGGGATACCTTCTTATGTCACTCACCTCATTTTCTCCAACCTTATCTGTGTAATATCTGCCATTGCCTTGATATACTGTTCCTATAAAAATGTATTAGGAATAATTAAATTCCGTCTTAACTCCTACAGTGACACAGGCCGTGTTAAAAAAATGTAATGGGAAAATAAGTAACATTGTTTGCCAGTGTGACAGCTTGCAAGCACGACATTTTTTTTTTTAATGTTTCAGAGGCGTAGGTGAAATCAGATTAAAAGAGGAGAGCAAAGAATGGGTCAGAACTGTGATTTGATGCAGCCAACAATTCATACTGCCTTAAAAAAACGCCTCTGCATAATGCGTCACAACGGCATTTTATGACTCGTATCACTTATCACATCATTTCAGATTTCGCTGAAAATTCAGAGTTAAATGCAATGGACGTGAGCTAGCCTAGTTGATATGGACCTGCTACTATACTGTCCTATAGAAGCCCCACGCCGACCAGCTGTCAAGAATCTAATTGAAAGTTATGAGACCTCAGTGAGGAGAAGGCAGTAATTCAATTACGACTAATATCTTTCGGTTTTTGGTGCAGGGCTAAATTAAATGTCATTATTCACTGTCTCTAATAAAAATCAAAAGGAAATCAGATTAGGGTATTTGTGAACCGCATCATTGAGTGGTCCTTAATGAAGAAATAACTGTCGAAACCAGTGTAGCTCACTTTCCCTATAACATAGTGCTGGATAATTACAATCGATCAAAGACTGAAATATGATGCATTCATTTTGGCGCACTAAAAGTCACACACTGAATAATAATAATAATAATAATAATAATAATAGATTCTATAATGCAAATCCGAGTGTCTTACAAAAAAACAGGTTGACAGACGTTTCCTTTTAAATTTGAATGAGCGAGTCGCTAATAGCCTAATTTAACTGAAACGACCAAAGCAAGTAATGATGGAAAACTGTAGGCATAGATTACATTTGCACTGTTCATAATGAATATTTTCCACATTCTCAAGCACCTGTGATGCAGCAAATTGATTTTATTGGAAAACTATTAGACAAAGGCCTAAATTTCAGCAATGTAAAATTGTCAGTTAGTTTACACGGTGCTTTGACAAGAGCTTGTAGGCCTACATTATTTAGCTAATTTAAAGAAAAAAAAATAATAAGAAAACTAAAATGTATTACATGGGCTAGACACAGCCAAAGACTACACAGATAATTCACTGCTGTAGAAGACGAAAATTGCAATATTAATTATGAAGAAGATTTGTGGAACAATGAATAACTGAATTCGCTTTTCCAGTTGAAACGTCTAATGAAATAATAAACTAGACCGATTATCAGAGGCAACAGAAATCGGCATAGTTTTTCTGTAATGTCGGTTGCATGGGCAAAATAAATATAACAAATTTGCACATTTCTGTAATTTAATTTGTAATATAAAAAAGTTGTAAATGGTGGTGAACACGATATTGTTTCTGTTTTAGGTATGGTTTCAGAACAGAAGAGCGAAATGCCGAAAACAGGAAAATCAAATGCACAAAGGTAAAAAGCATAAATAATCTTTTAATAAATAACCTAATTATTCAATGTTTCATGTAATATTATGTTATTATTTCAAGCATTTTTTATTTCATTTATAACGGGGCATGACCCACGTCACTGGATGCTCGTGAGCTAGCAGCTCTTATGTGTCCACTGCACCAACACGCCATTTTATAACTCATTACATTTGAAACTTTATGGAAATGGTGAAATCATCTACATAAAAAATCATTATGACTATCTTTGCTCATTTATTATTCTTTTCTATTCAGGTGTTATTTTGGGCACCGCCAGTCACCTGGACGCGTGCAGGGTCGCTCCTTACGTGAATATGGGCGCGCTAAGAATGCCATTTCAACAGGTAGGAATAACGAAGCTGAAATGGCTTTGTTCTTATATTGTGTGTTCTGTGATGTGCAAATGTGCAGTTCAGTCGACTAAATGAATCACCTAAAAGTAGCCTACTGGCTTAGAAATGTTTAGGCTTTGACAAACAATCTGATGCGACGCTAGTCTTTATGCGTCGCGCGAAGGGCGCGAACCTTTCACCTCCGGGGCCCGATGAGAGACGAATGAGATACGAGGGACCGAGAGACATTTCATCTGGTGGTGAAGAACTGTCTGCATCTGCCAGACGAGAGAGCAGCCATAATTAAGTTAATAGCACAGCTAGGGAAAGGCAGATAAAAGAGATTATGAAAGAGAGGAATAACGCACTGATGGTTATTGGCACTGAGCAGCATTGGCAGGGCCGAGGCGTGAGGACTGCATACTGAACACCACAAATGTCCACCACCTGTTGTTCTGACTGCCCCTGTAGAGGGGTTGCACAGTCCAATTTGACTGATTTGAGGAGACACTGGAGCAAGGGGCTGCTTTAATTTTTATGAGTATTTTCACACAGAGTTAATTAAAATAAATGCAAGTGCCAGGAATAAAGTCAGAAGGCCTGTGGTTAGAAATTGTGAGCAGCAAAGAAACTCAGATGTGACAGGGCATATTCATACCTGATTATTTTCCAAAAATAACAGACTACCAGGTCTGACATTATTCATCCTCCTTTCAAAGTAATCTTCCTATGTTTTGCATTCACGTGGAAAACAGAAAAAATAAACATTGGTAAAACATTCTTTCCCACTGTCAAAAACTTGTGCAGCTTGTCAGATGTTGTATTTTAGTTGGACTGCAAAATGTAAAGCTTTGAAATATTTATGATCCCTGTGCAGAGAAACACACATGAGAAGAATACTAAAAAAGAAAATAAAAAAATAAGTCACTTTTTAAGTCAGCGGATGTCTAATTTTCACCTCATCTTACTGAAATAATTGCTAAGAATCTGCAACCTGATATTTTATGCTGCCTGCTTACATCTTTTTTCCCCCTAGGAACCATGCGAATAAATATTTATATATATATATATATATATATATATATATATGAGAATGAATATTTTGGGTGCGAAATTGTTTATTTATGCCATTGAATATATAATTAAGATTACATGGTGTTGCAGCTTTTAACGGTTGTATGGAAAGATTCAGTGTGGATCAAACTGATATGCTGAGATGTGAGATTTGCAACTGATGGAAGTTCTTTGACTATTAAGCTGTCTGAGCGCATTGCATAATTCAGCTCAAGAGCAGATGAAAAAGAATGCACTGAGCGAGTGACTGTTTTCACTGAAAGCACACAGTTAGTGAAAACCTTCAGAAGGGTGTCCGAGCCTGAAACCGGATCCCTGCCGCTCCTTGAGCTGACCCCGCGGCCGCTGACTAACTCCATGTTTGTTTTTGCCCGCCCCGCAGGTCCAAGCTCAGTTACAGTTGGAGGGGGTCGGAACGCACTCCCATCCTCACCTGCACCCACACCTCGCGGCCCACGCTCCCTATCTGATGTTCCCGCCCCCGCCCTTTGGATTACCAATCGCATCGCTGGCAGACTCGGCCTCTGCGGCGGCCGCCGTGGTAGCGGCTGCCAAGAGCAATAGCAAGAACTCCAGCATCGCTGACCTGCGACTCAAGGCAAGAAAACACGCCGAGGCGCTGGGACTCTGACCCCCATGGGCTTCTCTGCTGCTCTGAACTGATAATTGCTTCTAACACAAGACTAAGCCTGTGAAAAGGCTGTGACACTCACAGTTAAAACAAAACAAAATAAAAACAAAAGAGAAAAAAGGGGTGTAAGGGGAGAGAATGAGAGCGAGAGAGAGAGAGAGAAAAGTCACAAAAAACCAGCTGCCAAAACAAACCACTTGTAGAGAAAGGTAATTAAATACCAATGAATCACCTTTTACTTTTCGCCCAACAGGCAGGACTTCTTGGAGGCCACTGGCTCAGCCCTTTCCAGGCACAGATCACAGCCCCAGGACCATACAAAAATGTCTGGATGTCTGTCTGAAAACCAACTAGGAGAGAAGACTTTAAAAAGGCAGACACAGAGTGAGGCTAGAGGTTGTGTTTTATGGACAGACACTGAAACTTTGGAATCTCAACCTCAAAGTGAAAAGAAAGAGACGGCCATATTTGCCTCCTACCACTGTGCCGCTGCCTAGTGCACGTGCTCAAATGAAGGATAGACCTATTGGGGCTGGCCTCCATTGTAACTGACATACATCTATGTTGATCACTGCCATGATAAGCCTCCGCTACAATTCATATCTAAAGCCATTATTTGCATTTTTGAAATTTTTTTTTTTTCATTGTTCATTTTGCTGTGGACAAAGACTGGAAACAGCAATAACATCAATGGTACAATCGTCTGGTTTTTAGTGGAATTCTTATGATTCTTTCTGTTTTGGGAGGAAATGTTGCGTTGCTGTTATTTCCTTCTGGGCATGTGTATGGACTTTAGCTTTCATTCTCATATTTTGTGCTCTCTTTTTTATGTGATGTGTCCTGGAATAGAAGTGAACCTAGCTTTTGCACTTCAGGTCTTGTATTGAGGGGTTTACAATCCTTAATGCAAGATATACTACTTTTATGTAAGGGGGAAACAAATTTGGCTTTCGTTTAGCTGAAATACATTGAAATGACTTGTTTTAGTTTGTTTCAAAAAGGATAAAAGGTAACTGCGACTTTGTAATTTAACATTTTAAGGAACATCAGTTTAACTGAAATGCAATTATGTGCAGTTAAGTGCAATACTGTAAATATGGAAAACATAATATAGCAGTTGATGTTTGCTAATTAAACAATGATTTTTAAGTTGTTGGGTTTTCGGCACTGATGTCGATGTGTTGAGAGTTCTTCGCCACAAACACATCTTTAAAAGCTGTGTAAAAAAGAATTTGCTAACTCGTTTGCAATGTGCCATAACTCCCCAAAGTTCAATGGTATTCAAATATAGTTTTGTACACGTGCATTTAAAGAGATATTGATATCACCTGAAACTGACACTGTACAAAAATGCTCTAGGTTTATGGATCATAAACATGTCTGGGTTTTAACATAACAATAAGTCCACCAAAGACAACAATTTGATAGCATTAATAGAGGTAGAATTATTTAATTTAAAGCTCCAAAGTCATTTACAGTATGACATGCGTTTCAGCAACTGCATCCAGAGTCTTTTTTCCCCATATGAACAAGAACCTGTCTACAGTTTCCTGAATTGAATACAACAAGCTTAAGAATTTGTTACCAAGGTAACAAAAACAGTATTATTTCCATGACCGTCCTATGAAATAGATAGCCAGTTCAGACATCGATTGCCTTTGAACTACGGTAGTAGATCTTGGTCAGGTCTACCTCTAACAATAAACGCTACATTGTGGGCTGTTTTCGTTGGTCACCATTAAAGTTGTTTAGGAATGTTTCCATTTCTTTAATTGACGTCATATGTGCTTTTATTTATTATTTTATCTGAAAGTTTATAAATGTTAAATAGCCGAATTTCAAGTGTACATATTTACATGGCTTTGCATTTATTTTTATATATTTTTTAAATGTTAACATTTGCAACAGTTTTACGCAAACGTGTGACTGCAGTACATTTGTTTGACTAAAATGTAGCGTGTTTGAGTTTACAAACATTTCAGGGATGGTGGATGAAACCATAATACTTTGTGTTGAGATTTTCTTGATGCTCCAAGGAATTTGTTGTATCCCATCATATTGCATATGCAAGCATGCCCAAACATGATTCACCATTGATTTGTTTTTATTCTGTTGTTTCACAAAAAAAAAGAAAAAAAAGAATGTACATCTTGTACAAGTAATCTATCAATAAAAGTTATAAATATTTGTAAAAAGAGTTTGTAAAACTTGTGGCCCTCTCCAATTTTCTGAATAAAGGTTGCTCTGGTTCAGACACGTTCATATATTATAAGCACATATTATTATTTGTAAAAATTACTACAAGACTCTATATAGAGGAGCCACAATATATTATATCTGAGAAGCTAAAAGTTGTTTTGAATTAAATTAAAATGTCTTGACCATCAAAATGTACTAGACATTGATCCTTGAGTCTATTCAGGCAAAATCCTGCCTCTTTGTCATGTATGCGGTGCAATATGGACCTGTACCCTCCGTATATCTAAAATAACATCACTGTCACATCTGACTTTAGCAAGCCTTTTTTGGATGCCTTGTTGCATCTGGAAACCCAAATCCAGATGTGTGTACACAAAGTAATTGCAGGCAACATAGTGGCTTTTTGTCTAAATTGCATGGAGAAATTAGTCCAAATGGCGTCCTGTTGAGCAAGTACCCCCTAAAAGGTCGGAGCACATTTAATTTGTAGCTTAGCACTCATACATCAAGATGGAGTGATATAGGCAGAGGCTGATACCCGTACATTTAGGCACTGACCTCTGGCTGGGGTCTGCTGGATGAAGCAGAACATAACAGCATCTTTTTATGTACTCTAATAATTGGCAACATAGGAGCACCATCAATCAACCCACACGGTTTCTTTTTCAACATGCACAAACACAGAAATGTATTTATACTGGCCGCAAGTCACAAATAAAGACAAGCAAATGGCCTATGAAAAGGCTTAATTAAAAGTAAACCAAACTAAACTTTTTTATTTTATTTTTTATTTTTTTGATTGAATCAATGTTATTGCTTGCATTAAAAGTGACGAAGTTTATTGCAGTCGTATAGCTGACAATACTAAAGCTGATGTACATTTAAAATGTTCTTTATCGTAGCACTGGCATACAATGAAAGAAACTTCAGGAAATACTTCCCTCTTGTACATTTAAGGTAGAGACACTTACTGTAACATCTAACAACTTATGAGAGTATTACACCTCTTATGAAATGTTGAATTGTATTCTACGTAGGACAATGAAATGATTTTGAGTGAGAAAAGGCAAAAACAGACTTATTCAAGCATCTTCCCCACTCTGTGCCGTTCCTGCTGAAACAAGAAGAACTTAACACGTGCTACCGATGCATGTGAGCCTTATCAATATCAGCCAAACTATGTCCATGCATAACTTACGTAAATATTGTTTCTCCCTGTAAGTGCAAGGAAATGTTTACCTTTTTAATCTTTTCAACAAGGCTCTAAAGAAGAAAGACATACAAGAGGTGTTGGGAATTCTAGTTGGAAAAGTTCTAAGCGTCCACATCAGGCCTTCAGGAGCTGGAGTGCATTTTAAACTTTAAGATATGTAAGCTTCAGTCTTTGACATCCTCTTTCATTAGCAATTGGCGAAATGAACATGGAGCTAGGCTTCAGTGACTGGAAAACATTCATCTGTTCTTCCACCATAAACTTTCTCCTCCACTGCAAAATTAAAGAGAGCTAATAAAGTAAGTAACCTGGAACCTTAAGAACTTTTTAAATATTTGAATGTTTACAATTCCTTTTTCGAAAAGGTGTTGTGCTGATTTCAAGCAGATAAACATTGCAATGCAATGACACAAACACAAGAAATGCTCTGGAGCTGGACTTCAGTCATTTAGGTATATGAACTATGTTAACTCAATGTATTGACAATAGCTAACACCTCCAGATTTGATCAACAATAAAATCTTATCTGACACATTTGTAGCCAATTATTTGTTTCTTATGTCAAGTTGTAGGAGAAAACACTGCAAAACGTCACGGTGTTCAACTATCAGCCACATAAAATGAAGACGTGACTATAGAGTTGAGGTATTACTGAATCGTGCTATCAAGCAATTAAAGTAATCGAAAAACACATACAGTCCAGATTCAAACTTTAAAGCATGGAAGTGCTGGAAATTGCTGAAAATATTAAAACAAGCTTTAAACAAAGAAATCTGTCAGAGTGATTTAAATTCAAAAGTCACCAGTGAATTAAGTCTTAAAGGGGTCATATGATGCGATTTCAATTTTTCCTTTCTCTTTGGAGTGTTACAAGCTCTTGGTGCATAAAGAAGATCTGTAAAGTTGCAAAGACTAAAGTCTCAAATCCAAAGAGATATTCTTTATAAAAGTTAAGAGTAAGCCACACCTACCTAAAACGGCTCGTTTTAACACGCCCCAACATACCTATCTCGCTCTGTGGGAAGATTTGCATAACGCCGCCCAAATGTTCATGCAAAGAAAGAAGGCGTAACTTTTATTCTCGCTGTAGTTTTGTTGTTTCCACTGCCATGTCGTAAAGAGGCTGTGTGCTTCGTTGTAAAAGCGAAACTAGTTTGTTTGGTCTTCCAAAAGAGGACGATATCTGCTTTGTCATGCCTAGAGCTGAACATTTCATTACACCAAATACACAAAATACTGTTCTTTTTAGCAGCATCATATGACCCCTTTAATACTGATTTGAACATGAAAACTTAAAGGAGAACTAAAGATTGTGAAACAAAGGCTGACAGCAATTTGTTCATCTAGGGTCATTTTTGTTTTTTGAGCCATTACATCTCAACCAATAAACTAGCCGTTTTCTTGGTCTGGTATTGCTTTCTTAGTCTAAATCTGTTGTATTTTGAAGTATCAAACTAAAACCCTACAGGACCTGGATCTAACAGAATAGTAAAGTAGCAAGACTCTTCTTTAGGTGCCATTTCTCTTGCAGCATAAAAGTTACAATTCAAAATCTGTTAGCCTCCACTTTGAGAGACAAGTTACAGTACCTTGGTGGTTTACCTGTAAGAAGTGAGAAAAATGTGAAAGTTCAAAAACCTGATCTTCTCAAAACAAAAAGTGGTCAGAAAGGCTAATATTTCTTACTTGGTGAGATATTACAAAGAAATGACTGTGAATTCATAAAACAGCATTCAATATTTATTATGTATGTGTGTGTGAATATATATATATATACAGTATATCTATATATATATATATATATATATATATATATATATATATAAAATGCTTATAATATCATTACAAATTAAATCTGCATTAAATCTGACATTGCATAACATTGCAGAACTGTTTACTGTTCAGAGAAAAGTGTTTCTTGTTTATTCCATTTTCACAACAAAAGGCTTAAATGGGATGCTGTATGTATTTTGTGAAAGCTCTTGTTGTTTAAATTAAATTATGCCTTTAGTTAGACATAACTAAAATATATTGATTCTGAGATCATGCCCTTCCAGACAGAAAATAAGATAAAACCAAACATTTATCTCTTGTTAAAATGCCTTGAGTTATAATTTCTTTTTCCCATGTTGATTACTGTAAAATATTATACTTGCTGATATTAACAGAGCAAATTTCTGGAAAATAACTCTGAAGCTTAAGAACTTATATAGAAAATTACAGGAAT